TAATGGTGTTTCTAGTAGAAACTGTGATGTCAAAACGGTCACTTTTCTAACTATTTATCGAAGGAAGCTCTGACACGCTTTTTCCATTACTATTAAAGATACCCTACCCAACATAAAGTGAAGTACTTCTTGATACCATAAGAGACATAAATCAACTTTTGAGTGTAAAAACAAAAAAATTTGGAATATCCATCACTTCATTATTTCTTGTATAAAATAAAAACATTTATAGATTGGTTCGTTGTTGCAAGATTAACGCGCGCATGAAATAATATAAGATAGAAGGAGAGACAAAACTGACCAGAAAGGGAAGAAGACCCCTTTGGATAGAGCTTGGAACAGCAAGCCTCAGCTCAAAGGAAAGTGGACACCAGCCCAACTTACCTACAGAAGGAAAACAAGATTGAGAAGAGGGGAGGGAATCCGACATGAGGTCAAATGAAAGTCTATAGAATGGACAAAAGGAAACAAAAAGGAGAGATGCTGGCATCCGATGCACCGCAGGAGACGCTGTAATGGACATAAAGAGCAAAGGGATGCGTTTTGCACTCGCTCTTAAAAACTGTGCGAGCAATGAAAAAGGACACTGTGGAGCAGATGTGGAAGAAAATCGATGAGAACTGCGTGCAGACCAAGGACAACAGTCTGAGCTGACGTTTAACAGAGACGGCCTCTTCCCAGTTTGAGGTATATGTGGGCTGAGGACATGAGCACAAGAAAATAAGCATCAAAGGATTTACCCGTTGTCGATGGAATAAACATTGGAACTGCTCATTACACTTTATACAAAGTATAAACAAATCTTTACAAATCATACAAACACTTCAATGAAAAGCCATCACAGTTTCAATTTCAATACAAATCCAGCAGCAAAAAGTGCTGCCTACAAATGGACAAATCTAGTAACTGACAAAAATAATCTGATCTACAGACAGTTTTACATTCTCTGCGGAATGTGAATAGAACCATTATCCGAAGCATTTACAAATACTTCTAAGAAATATCGAATTTAGATAAACGGAATACGCTTTTAACGCAGATTATGTGGCTGACACATTTCCAGGTTCCCTATCAATCTCTCAATATGCGTTAGTGCCAAGTTCAACTGTTGCAGTACTTCTTCCAAATATGGTAACTGACATTCCGCCATTGTGATTGATAATCCTTGTGGCGCGCTTTGCTTAGGCACCATATGGTAAGAAGCACAAACCTGAAAAAACAAGAGAAAGTTTTCCATGTAATGCACTAACAGCATTTAGAGCAAACTCAAAAATAATAACGGCTTACTAGTCTGCAGCTGGATATGTAGAACGAGAGCAACTGGTCTTGCGGAAGAGGCGGATTGAAACGTCGAGTAGGTGGAAAATGACAAAGTTCTAGCAATGATCTGAAAATAACGAAAGTATATATTGATAGCACGTTGTCTTGCACTGAAAAATATGGCTAACGAAGTATAAGAGTCTCTACCTTACAGAAAGTCATTGCACACTCATAATACATCGATTAGCAATCGCGACAAAAATTTGCACAACAAAAGACAGTTCTTATGAGTGCCAAATTCTATTCAGTAATCGATTCGGCCTCATTGCTCCCGCATTTCTTTGTTATATTTCTCTTAAAATCAGTTTCCACCAGAGCCCTAACCGCTACATACTTGCCCACTTCACATTTTGCAACACACTTTGCTTATCCTTCTCATCGCTAGCCTCGGCAAAACTCATTCCTCACTTCAGTTTAAAAAAGGATTTGCCAAATGTTTACACAGTTTCCACCACCGCATCACGAAAGACGATTAACTTAATGCATTACGCAGCACAAAACTTCTTCGATACTTGATATCTTAGGCCGAGCACCTAGCTACTTTCGGGAATTGCCCTTGAACTTGAACTGTAATAGGAAATGGCAAGGTTGTTGGGCAAAGCTTTTTAACCCTTTGTCCTTTAAGACGCTGCAAAACGATCGTTTTCTTCTAACATGGAGCAAAG